GGGGGGGGGGGGGGGGCCCGTCGCCACCCTGGCTATCCGCCAGACGCACCGGGTTTTGCAGGACTTCCCACTACAGCCAGTTCGAGTTGTGGCATCGAGTTCTCCACACCATCCGCTCTCAGAGTCTCCGTGCCGTTAGGAGGTAAATATAAAAGGTGTCTGTGTCTCAAACCCAACATGGGAGTGAGGGAGTCTCCCGGGCTCTGTCCCTCTTTGGGACCAGGGCTCCTGGCCACCGAGGGCTGGGCAGAAACGAGAGGTAGGCCTCCGTCGTACGCTCAACGCGGCAGCTGTGTGTAGTTCCCGCTGCCAGGGCTGCGTGTGGGGAGGGAGAGGCTTAGATCTTCACGTCTTCCTGCACGCTGAGCTGTGAGAGGGTCTTCTTAATGCGCAGGGCAGTCAGGCGGGCCGCGCCGTTGGCGTACCAGCACTCTCGCATCATCTTCCCCATGACCCGCAGTGCCTGCATGGAGACCCGGAGACCCGGAGGCCGCGTCAGCCGGACCCCGCCCCGGGAGGCCCTCTTGGCCTCGCTCCACCTCGCCTCTCAGTAGAGCCTGGCACCATCTCCCCTCCCCTCTGAGCCCGGGGAGCGCTCTGCGAGCCTCTGTCTCCCCTCGGCCCTCCCATCCTCGGGGACCAGGAGAAAGGGGAGGACTGGCCCGCGAGTGCAGCCAGCCGGCCCACCATCGGGGTACTCCGGACGGAGGTACCCGAAGTAGCCTGTGCTCCGAAAATCACTTCTCTCAGGTCTGAGATCCGTTTGTACGCTTCCGTACTAACTGTGTTCTTTGAAGGAGCACGTGAAGCAGGCACACCAGGAACGCGCCTGGGTGCAAGCAAGCACACGGCCGGAATCCCGGGGCTCATGTGCACGGACGGGATGGGGGTGGGGAAGAAGCAGGACAGGAGCCCCTAAAAAGCAATCCTGTCAGAGGCGGAAAGCCACACTGCCACCGCCTGGACCACACGGGCGACCACTGTGGTCAGGCCAAGAGATGGATTTGGAAGGCCACCTATGGACCTCTACTGGTGACCGAGGGTGACAAAGGTCCCTGACTGCTGTCCTAGGCCAGTGGTTTTCAAAATTTCAAAAACTGACTGAAGAGGTTGTGGGATGGGGGAAGCTGAAGACCGGTTCTCTCAGCCTCACCCTCATCCTCTGAAACCCTGACCTGAGGGCTCCAAGGAACATTTTGGAAAATGCTGCTCTATTATGCGACGAGAAGACACCACCTAAAATGTGAGCTCAGCGATTCTGTTCTAAAATGCAGAAATGCCCTCTAGTGGTTAGAGTCCTTTCTAAAAGCAGAGCCACGAGGGCCCTGAAGACTCTAAGACCCCAGAATGCCATGTTTATTTGGAACCTGTATCATGAATTTGTCCTCATTTCAATTATTTCCCCCAAATGCTGTCCCTGACCCACTCCATCTGTATCTCCCCCAAATTCCAATCCTCCACACCCTCCTCCCTTCTGAGTTTTTAGAAAGGCCACCTCCCTCACAGACATGCCTTCTAAGTCCTGTCCTGCCATTCTTCTATGCCCAGAAAAGAGCTTCGCTTCTTTTCTGGATGCCTCTATTTGATTCTTCCACAGAGCTCAGCTCGTCCCTGTGGTTCCAGAGCCATCTTTCTAGCTAGACCGGTCTAATGGTTCCCACCCAGTTTTTATTTCTGTCTTTTGCTGACCACCTCTTATCTGTGTCCTGGGGACCAAGCCTTTTCTTCTACTAGGCTGTCCATTCCCAAGAGGACCCTACAGTGCCCAGGACAAGGCACTGTGGCCCCTCTGGGATTCGTAGACAACAGCACATAACAGTATATAAGTGACACAGGGGGTACCTCTGGGCATGGCCTCATTGGCAAGCTCTTTCTCTCTTTCTCTCTTTTTTTTTTACTTGGGAAACCCTTTTTCTAAAGTAGAGAAATCAGGCAGATGGAAAAGCCACAGGAGGCAGGGAAGCTTCCTACCTCGTAACTCTGCCACCAGTTGGGGATGTTGGGACGTAGCTTCTGGTCACATACGACCTTTCGCATTTCCTCAATGGAAGGGTCAGAGGGCACTAAGTCATAATATGGTAGCTGATACTCTTCATGGACTCCTGGGAGAAAAGAAAATACCCACCTGAGTTATCAACAGAAGGAGGGCATTACTCAAAAACCTGTAACAACACTCACACCATGATCTGTAAATACCACTTCCCACTAAGAAGAGCTAGGGCTCTTGGAAAGGTTGGTGGGTTCCAGGAATGGGATTAAGAGACACACGAGATTAGTAAGGAACATCTCTGTCATACCAAAAGCAAGCAAACTATCAAAGACTACTGAGGTCATGTTAAAAGGCACCAACTTGAAAAGCTCCCACTGGCCAAAGATGAGAATATTTAAGCAGAAGTAAGACTAATCACTTCAATGGAAGCAAATATTTTAAGTCCACCAGTTCATTATACTTTAAAAAAAAAAAAAAAAAAGGACACCCAAATCCTTAGTCACCTTTGTAAGATGAGAGGTAACAAGTTCACTGTTTTGAAAAATGGTAAATAAATGGGAAGAATCAAGTATTTTTCCTGGTTTCCCTATTCAAACTACATATCTTGGTAACCAAATGGGACAATTACGGGAAGTTTCTCTTTAGAGAAGAAATCTAGCTAATACATGACGATTGACAGTATCAGAATATTGGCATTTTTCAACCTCTAACGAATATGCTCATGAACAATGATCACTGGTGGCTGTTAACATCACAAAAAGAGAAATGACTGGTATTATGTGCCTTGTAACAGAACTCTGGGGGAAAAATATATATGATCCTAGTCATTAAATGCAACTATCATAGGAAAGTCACAGGACTAGAAGAACACGTGAATGCCATAAAAATGTAGTTGCCAAAATCTAGACAGGAAAACTTTACAGGACAAATGACCTGGCTTCTCAACTAAACTGCAGAAGAAAAACAGTGGAGGGGGAAACTATACATTACAAGAAACTTAAGATGTGTATCAATCAACTGCAGTGGATGGACATGATTTGAACCCTGATTTGAAGAAACCGATTTAAAAAAATTATGAGACAGCTGGGGAAATCCCAACACTAACTAATGTTAAATGATATTAATGTTCACTTTTTAAAGTGTGATTAACTGTATTGTATTTAAGTCCTTATCTTTTAGAGCTACAAACTGAAACAGTTTCCATAATAAGCTAATTTGAAAAATCCAACGTAACTTTCCCATGCCTTTTTCCAGGAAAAATTCTGCTGTTCTGAGCTACTAGGACAGATATTTTTTAAAAATGCTTATTTATTTTGAGAGACAGAGACAGAGCACGAGCAGGGGAGGGGCAGAGACAGAAAGCGAGAGAGTGAGAGAGCGAGAGCGAGAGAGAGAGAGAGAGAGAGAATCCCAAGCAAGGGGCTCAATCTCATGACCTGAGCCAAAACCAAGAGTCAGACGCTTAACCAACGGAGCCACCCAGGTGTCCTGCAGTAGAGCAGATTTTTAAATAGAGTCTTGGTAAACATCTAAGGGATGCTTTAGAACCTATGCTCTGGCCTCAGTCTGCCGGCGTCTGAATCCGAGTTTACTAGCCGTGTGACCTTGGACAAATTACCTATCTCTGTGACTCATTTTCTTCATCTGAAAAATTATGACAGTAATAGTCACCACCTCTTAGGTTTGTAGTACAGATTAAGTGAGCTTATACACAGTGAATGGTGAATAAATGTTAGTATTATTTAGGGGTGCCTGGGTGGCTCAGTCGGTTAAGCATCCTACTTCAGCTCAGGTCATGATCTCACAGTTTGTGAGTTTGAGCCCCGTGTCGGGCTCTGTGCTGACCGCTCAGGGCCT